GGCGGGGCGGGGGCTGAGCCTGCGCCCGCTCCCGGCCCAGCGCTGACCCCCGGTGCGCTCCCGCAGAGACCAAGGTGTACGTGGGGAACCTGGGCACGGGCGCCGGCAAAGGCGAACTCGAGAGAGCCTTCAGCTACTATGGACCGCTGAGAACCGTGTGGATCGCCAGGAACCCGCCGGGGTTCGCCTTCGTGGAGTTCGAAGACCCCCGCGATGCTGAAGATGCTGTCCGTGGACTTGACGGAAAGTACGTGTCCATTTCGTAGCCGAGGCTACTGAGAGACAATCGGGCTTTATCTCTCTGTTCTCTGTGCTCCTGTAGTTCTGACACAGACTGCGAGGTTTAACCCAGAGCCTTCATGGACTTGTTGCAGGGTGATCTGCGGCTCCAGGGTCAGAGTGGAAGTATCCACAGGGATGCCGCGCCGCTCCCGCTACGACCGGCCCCCTGCCCGGCGCCCCTTCGACCCCAACGACAGATGCTACGAGTGTGGTGAGAAAGGCCACTATGCCTATGACTGTCACCGCTATAGCCGGCGAAGGAGGAGCAGGTACGTGCGGGGCCGGGGCTGCCGCGTTGCTTCGCCAGCTCGCTTTTGTGTAGTTCTTGTTAGCAAAGAACACAATGTTACACCAGTTTTCTTTAAACTTTAACGCTAGAATAAATGTATAGGTGTATATTACAATTTGTTGCTATTTCTATCAAATGTTAATATTTTAATAATCAACCTGGTCAAAACCTTTCAGGTTTCTTCGTTTGAGTCAGTCGCCTTGATTCAGAATGTCACGAGCCTTAAGATTTCATGCTGAGGCGCCTTGCAAATCCGACACTTAAGATCCTCCTAGACCTTGAGGTGATCAGCATAAGAGGCCAGATCCCCTCGAGCCATCTACACGTAGCTTCACCTTATTCTTTAAGGGCAGAAAATTTGAGACGGTGACCGCCGTAACAGTAAATTTGGCTTTCAATTGGGGCCCCCCTCCGGTTTAGAAAGAGGAACACCAGATTGACCACATTCCCACCTAGAAAAATCTTCTTGCGTCAATCAAGCCTCACCCTGGCTCATTGGGCTGTCAGTTTGATCGTCGTTAGATTGAAGAGAACACCTACCTAGATGCAGCGCTCGCCTATAGATACTTCTAGATCGTCTAGATCTGCTAGACCTTGGGCCAAAGAGGGTCGACCTGCAAACTTGCAAGGTTTATTTTAAATACGCATTACAGTGTTTTCTATTCTAATGTAATTCTGCAATGTAATTCAGCTTTAACATTTTTCTAGGTAGTAAAAATGATCAAGACAAGTAGGCCCAGACATTTTTCCAACTGACAGATGCTAGTTCTTTAGTTGTCTGAAAAAAGTTTTGACTTCAGCAGGGCCTCACACGTGCTGGGTGCAGCAGCTGTCTGCTGATACCGGTTTTTTCTAACCTAAACCCAGGTCCCGGTCTAGATCCCGCTCGAGGTCCCGTGGAAGAAGGTATTCCCGGTCACGCAGTCGCAGCCGTGGTAGGAGGTGTGTTTGAGTTTTTCTTTTATTCCCGTTGCCTTCTTTTGCCCAGAAAAAGCTACACTTGAACAACTCTCGGAATTGCTTTCTCTGCAGGTCCAGATCAGCTTCCTATCGTAGGTCCAGGTCCGTGTCTCCTCGTAGGTCTAGGTCCGTGTCTCCCCGCCGGTCCCGCTCGGGTTCCTTGAAGAGATCGAGGTAATTAGTAGTAATTTTTAAAAGGCTGGATGATTTGTTTTTGTGATGTTTTCTTGTTTTAATTCAGTTCTAAGAGATAGTGGGTAGCTGATTTTCGAAGATGCTGACCTCTAGAAATCAGCATGGATTAAAAATTTCTGATAATCCTAGTTAAATTCACAGGTTCGTTAATGACTTTCAAGACCTTACCTTGAGACAGCAGCATCTCCCATGACTGAATTTCTTTGCCAAATATCTAACGATCATGTAGTCTGCGATCATGTAGGTCTCAAGTTTAGGTGTAGACGTTAATTTTTATCATGCTGTAATTGTCATCACTTCTGCTTAAGTTTACTTACTTTTAATTTATCCCAATTTTTAATTTCAGGTCTAGATCAAGATCAAGATCTAGATCCAGATCTGTTACATGGCCCCGAAGCAGGTATGTGACTAAAGATCGTTGGTGAAAGTTGCTTAAAAGTCTCATTAGGCTCTTCAACAATTGCTAAGGTTTTTTCCCAGGAAAAGATGTGTTTTCCCTCCACTAACTTAGGGATCTGTAGTTCTAAGGAGCAGTGCAGAAGATTGTTCTTCCTCTTTCTATTCTTTTGCACACTGCCAGTATCTAGATCCCCATAGTCATCACAAATACTGGTTTGATCAAGTTGCATTAACTGCTAACTAACGTAGAATTAATCTCAAAAGTTTATTTTCCTTTGTGTAGCACACACAAGATTGTCAGTTCTTCCCATTATTTTTCAAAGAAAGCAGGATGTCCTTCTAGTAGCATGATAATGCTTTATTGTATATAGGCAAACAAGTCTTGAAGGGCTTGCTGGTGTCCTGAGTGTTGTAGCTGCAATTCCAGCTCTGTTGAATATCAGTGTGAGTCTGCTGATTTTTAATTTGAGATAAACACCTGTCAGAATTGTTTTGTACCAATAAACGTATCACAAGAGTAAAAGTCAAATTTTAAATTTTAAGGGAACACAGGGTGCTATTTGTTCCCTTAAACTTTACTTGCTAGTAAGTGGGTACAACCTGTGCTTCATGGAGCCTTGTCCTGGCAGCAGGGCTGACTGAGTGTCCTTGACAAGAACAAGAGAAAATGGAAATTCTGCTCTGGATATGGAACTGCTTATAGCCCAGCCTGTCCCTGTGCCTGCTGTGCTGGTTTTAATGGCTGCTCTTTGAAACAAGGAATAGCCAACCCTGAAGAAACACAGGAAAATACAGGATAGCTTCAGCTAAAGGGAGCAGGTGGAAAAGCCCACAGCTG